GAATTGGTGCAGGTGTCGCAACTGGAGCTGATATTATTCCGAATGGAACATGGGGTGAAGACTGGTCTATTGCAGGTAGCGAGCCTACAAATAATGTGCCAGTAGCTCCAAATGCTGGTGGTGGTTTACCTGCTATTACAATAGCACCTAATATAACACTCGGCCAACATTTATACTTACTTGAAACTGCTTATACGACTGTCGAACACTTAAAACATATGGTAGTTTTTGGTCAACTTATGCAAGGGGATATGGGTATTGAAGAGTTTTCTGCCCGAATCAAAAAGATCGGTAAATTAGCTGGAATGACTCCAGAACAACAAAGAGAGCAATTAATTCGTGGCTTAAGTCCTATGAACCAGTATAATCTTTGAATGATGGCTAAGTTTCATGATACACATGATAATATTGTAGAAGCCTTAGCCGAAGCAGAAAAATTTACATTATCTCAAAAAAATGCACCATCTTCTATTCCAGTTTTTCCAACATCCAGCCCCTATGTAGATACTAATAGATCAGGAGGTGGGATGACTAAAAATGAAATTGAGAGCTTGGTAAAAAATACAATAGCATCATCAGAATCCCAACGGCCTCAACAAGTGGCTTCATCGCAATTTCAACCACAACCTGCAGGAACGTATAAAAATTTACGAGATGAGAATATAGGTAGATTTATATTATGGATTACGGGAGAAACTCCAGAGTTCACCCCTGTTCCCAATCCTGAGTTGCCACCGAAACCAAAGAAAAAGGTTGAAGTTGATTCTGATGAAGAGCTTGCTGGGCTCACGAAAAGGCAGTTAAGTTTACACGTGGCTAAAAGTGTTAAAAAGGCTATAAAAGCGCAATGCAAGTGTTCTGTCTGTAATAAGAGTGGGCATAATTCTTGAAACTGCCCTCGGAAGAAGAAAAAGAAGAATAAGTCCAAAAAAGGTAAGGTTAATTTTGCTACTATGGATTCAGGTTCTAATTTAGATTCTAGTACCTCCTCTAGCGAATCATCATCTGATGATAGTTCTGATTCTGATACAAGTTCTTCTGATTCTTCCGATTCTGGGGGTGATATCACTGTTAATATTGGTAAGTCAAAAAAAAAGTGAGCTCAAACTCCAAGGGTAAGAAGTCTTCAGGCAAAAAGTCTTTAGGCAAAAAGTCTTCTGGCACGAAGTCTAGTTCCAAGAAATCATCATCCCAATCTACTAAAAATCCCAAGTCTAATAAACCTAGAAAAAATAAGCAGACTATCTTGGAAGAAACTGTTCGTAAAATTATGCAAAGTGAGCTCAAATTACTTTTTCCCTTCCTCTTACCAGTGGTCTCGCCGGCTCGTAAGACTACCCCACAGGAGTCTGGTTCAAATAAAGCTGATTCAGTAAAACAAGCGCCTCCTTCTCCGGCTAAAGTGGAGGTACAAAACAATGGCTCTTCAAGTTCCAAAGACCCGGACGAGTCTAGTGTAGAGGAGGAAGAAAATTTGGATGATCCTATGGAAATAGATTTCGTTAAGAAAAAGGAGCCGAAGACAAGTGTTGCGACTGTGAAGTGCAAAATTAGGCGTTTAAAGATTCCGGCTATGACTCTCGACTCTGGAGCTGAACCCCCTATCATAACGGAGAATATTGTTGAACGCGTGGGAGATAAAATCGATAAATCTGAAATACACGATCTTAGCGGTATTGCAACTGATCCTGTTGAATCTATTGGGATCGTCCGCAACCTACCAATTACTCTAGCTCCCGGACTTACCATTATTGAAGATTTTATCGTTGTGAGATATCGCAAACCAACCCTAATATTTTCTAACCAGCTTCTAAAGAAATACGGATGTACACTGGATTGGAATACCAATGAGTTAAAGATCCCCCTTAATGGAAAGGATTATATCATCCCAGTGACCATGCATAAGATCAAGAATAAGCTCGAGGTGAATTGCGCGAACATTACTCCTGAATGTGATGCTTCCTCGACCCCAGACTGTATTTCACAGGATTCGCAGGACTTAAGTGAGGATGATACATTAAAAAAAAAGTGAGTTATGAAGAGCTCGAAAAAATGTTATACAATTCTCTCAAATCTAAAGCAGAACTCAATGACGCATGTAGAAGATTGCAGATACGTTATAATGAGCTATTAGGTAGTAGCCAATAAGCGAGCTGTCTCTACTTTACTTTTTTCGTCTTCCTTAACACCCTTCTCATAAAATGCTTTTAATTCCTCCCCATGTAATCTTTCTGAGTTTTTTGGGGTTGATTGAGTCTGAATGGGCGATGGTTCAGATATTGTAACAGACTTAGATCTAGGCTTCTCCCCTCCAGTCTTTTTTTTCTTACTATTAGAAGCAGTATTACATTCTAGTGAAACATCTTGTAGGCCCTGGATGGAGGGGATCATGTTTTCTAGTAATACGTTAGTCTGGTCCCTTGCCTTTAGCACCTTCGGTTGAGACTCCTCTGGTATATCCTGTCTATTTATACTCGAATAAGAAAGCGGGACTGCTGAATAGTTCCATTTGACCCTTCCCATTTCCTGACCTCTCCAGATCTGATATAAACGAGAAGTTGATATATGAAATTTTTTTCTTAATTGATCCAGAGGCTTGGACTTCATATCTCGGTATTGCATGATATCTTCGTAATCTGCAGTAGATAATTTTCTAGCATCGGAGCGCATATACCTTCTAGGTGGTGGGTTGATCATAATAGTGGTCAATCAGATTTCTATACTATTAATAAAAAATGTGTACGCGAATTATTAATACTATGTGAACTATATGTACTATGCATACAATCAAAACTATACGGAGAACCAGTATTATGCGGAGTATCAGAAGGATTAGTTCTATTCATTCTACGGGAACCACCTGTGGCATTAATAAAAAATATGTATAAAAAAATTAATACTATGTGGTGTATCAAAAGTATCAGAAGTGTTAGGAGTATCAGAAGTATCAGTGCTATGCGTTATCCTCCAAAAATAAATTTCACTTATATGATGGCTTGGGCAGAAAATTCATCCATTCATTCACTGGAAAGTTCAGCGTATAAAATATATATGCTTTCAATCTCTCCATCCCAATCATTATTCTGGCTAGTCAAGCTAACATCAGGAAGACGATCCTCTCCTCGCCAGATTCTATATACCCTCTGTGATGATATTTTATATTTTCTAGTCATAACTTCTGATGCCCGCTTCATTGAATTTCTGGCTTTAATAATGTCTTGAATATCTTCATGAGATAAAGGGATTGCATCTGATCTTAAATATTTACGCATAGTTTTTCTATCAATATTGCTTATATTTAATTACTTTGGTGATGACCGGTGGTTCAGAAATTTCAGTCATATTTTTTCTACTATAGTAACAGTCGAGTTGAAAAAAAAGTCATGAACAATGTATACACCTTGGGAGATATCAATAAAAAAAGCGATACTCCCTCTATGACTGGACATCGACTTGGTACTGCATACGAGTAAGAGCTTGAAGAGAAATTATACTCTGCTTTTAGTTCTAAGGCCGAATTTAGGGATCTTAATGGAAAGTTGGTAGATAAGTATTTAGAGCGAGAAAAAGAGTATCAGCGAACCAATGCTGATATTGGGAATAAGATTAGCCAGTTAAATGCGTCTACTACTAAAGTTAGATCCCAACTTATTTCCAAACGGAAATCCCATTCTGAGAGTCAACGTGAGCTTGAAGCTGAAATAAAATCGCTTAAATCTTCTATTAAAACTCTGAAGAGAGAGGCGACCCTGGCCCAGAAAGCTTCGTCCGCCGACAAGATCAAGATTCTTTCTCTTGAAGCTAAAGTACGTGAATTGGAATTAAGCCCATCTAATCCTAAAGAGATCGATTCTCTCAGGCTTGAATTGGAACGAGTGAAGGAGGACCTTAATTCGAAAGAATATACAATAGAATATATGGAAAAGGGGAAAGAGGCATCAGATAACATATACAAACGGGAGTTAGATATTCGGTCTTCAGAACGATTAAAATTGATGGAGGAAAATAGCTCTCTCAGGGACCAGTTAGCGTTAAAGAAAGAGCCAAGAGGCGCTTCGCATAATGAAGTAGATACTCCATCCCCGCCTATGAATGATTCATCGCAAAAGCTACCAGGTTGGGTCAGTGATGATTTAAGACCCCTCGTCTATGAGCGTGGTTTTGAAGATAAAATTATGGAACTCGATAAAAATTTTGTCAGGGAACATATATTGGAGGCTTTGCAAGAGTTATTACCCCAGAATGAGATAGTTTCGAGAAGCCAGACAGATACCCTACCCAATCAATCTGTTCATAGTCGACCAGCAAATTCTGAAAACTTTATTTCGAGAGAAAGGGTTGCGAAGCAATTGGGTGGCGCAGAAGAAATGGTGCCATTAGCCCAAGAAATGCCTCTCCAGGGAACCGCATCAGCTATTCCTGCCATTGAAAGTTCCTTTATGTCATATACCATACTTACCTTATTTCTTCTTGTAGTTATATGGATTGTTGGGAAAAAAATATGGGATTTATGGAACGATAAGCCGAAAGAAAAAAGTAATACCCCTCCTTACCAGAACTATTTTTTATCGTCTCCAGGTATTTCCGAGGTTGGGTTATATGGTCGGAGGTCAGAAGTTCGAAGATAGGAATTGAAGTTAGCCAGTATTATTGCACGAGAAAAAAAAAATATGCGGTTATAAATAATATTATACGAAGTGCCTTACGACTAAGTTCTTCTAGCTGGAATTGCCAGACCTCGCTAAAAGTACTTAACCATATAATTCGATGATCTCGTCTATATCCACTTCGGATGAATCATCTTTTTTGTCATCCTGTAACTTCGATAATGTTTGATAGCGTGTGATTTCTAGGCCAACCACTTTGTACCATATGTTTCGGAAATCTGCTAGTAGTTTACACTCATCCAAATAATATGATGTTAAATATTGTTCTAAGGACATTGCTCTCTTCTTAGTAACTAATTTATACATACTGTCTCTATACTCTATATTAACCTCGGAAATTTCTTTAAGCAATGATGAAAGTTTTAAGCGGATGGATTCTTCTTGCTTATCTAGAGCATTGAGGAAGGATTGGCAATAAACATTGTTAGTCAGGCGTTCTCCCTTATCGGCATAAGTATTATCAAACAAGCTTTTCGCATAAATACTAGCTTCTTTCCATAGGTGGGATATGATGGCTTCATCTTTTTTCGGACCTTCATGTAGGTTTTTGATATATCCCCTAATCCACTTCTCAGCTGATTTCTGCGCTAAGGCATCTCTTATTTTTGATACCTCATCTTCATCCATTTCGTCTTCATCCTCCTCGTCTTCGTCCAGGTCATCTTCGTCTGGGTCATCTTCACCACCACCCGCTTTATTGGCATCTTTTAACTTTTTTAAGGCCCCCAGCACAATTTCAGATGATGGTTGGTGTCTTTCATCATAGTTAATAAATCGCGCATAGAGGCCGACAACGGTTTTTAGATAATAGTTAGCATCAATCTTCTTACCAAGATGTCTTGCCACTTCTGGGTACTCCATCTTATCTCCCACTTTCTGTGAAGAATCATTTTCGACTACAATATACTCAAAGCGTTCACCTGGTTCTGGGATTTCATAAAGATAAGGCTCGGGTGCTAGACCCTTTTTTATGAACCGTTTAGCATCTGCTTCTTCACGGGTATGTCTATCTCGCATTCGTGAAATGAAGCGCTGTACACTCTTGTTATTTTTATCAGGCCTCCACACAGCAGTTTTAACCATTTCATTAAGATCTTTTTGTGAGATATCATTTATAGTCTCTTTGAGCACATCTTCTACAATCTGATGCAAGGTGCGTATATTGTTTACTCTCGTAGACTCTTCCATAATACGTTCCCCTATTTTTCGGAAAATACTAGACTGCCCCCGCTTTACAACCTCAACTCCTCGAATGAAAAGCTTATTATTGAAGTTGGGCTTGCTTATATGTGGAATGCCGTAGTATTTTTTCTTTCCAGTAAATACTACCGGAAATAAGACTTCCTCATATGCCATTTTGAGATAAGAGAATCCGTTGTCTTTCCTGAGAAAGTCATTAACTTCGTCACGTAAATTCTTCATCGCTTCCATAGAGATGTTCACCATTCTAGACCAATATTCTTCTTTCGAGATTCCATTGCCACCGTCATATGCCTCATCACATTCCTGGAAGCGCCTTTCTGGACAGACTAGATATAAGGAATCAGTGTCCCCATATTTTATCTGAAAGCCTCTACTTTTAACGAAATCCGCGACAAGTTTGAGATTTCTCTGCCCAGCCGAGGTGACGCCTCCAGCAAGTGCACGCAAGAAGAAGGGGGATATACTATTCCCGGCCTCACCATAAAATGTATTCATGTATACCTTGAAGGCATATTGTTTCTTATCCAAGCACGAACAATCAAAACAAACTGAATCATATTCTGCCATGAATTCATGCTTTTTTTTATTAATAAAATGGTATAAATTTTTGCTGAGGCTGGCACGTTTTTTCTCCTCCACGTTCGCTAAAATCTGCTCAATAGCCCCCGATAATGATAAACCTTTACCCATTAAACCAATAACCAGATCCATGTCTTCCTTTTTTTCTTTCAAAGGAGCAAGACATTTTTTCATCTCATTCCGTTTATTAGATAAATATAATAGCACAATGGCATAGAGACCCTTTTCTTCGGGGATGTTATTATGCTGTATAGACCATGCACACAATGGGCTATTATTAAATAGAAATTTGATCGCATGAAGCTTCTTTCCACTGCTTTTTACAGATAGAGCTTGCTCTTGTGATAAAATAATTTTATTGGGTGAGAGGTTGTATGTTATAATAAGATTTGGATATAATGATGCGAAGTCCAAACCGGTTACAGGACGTTTATTTTCGAGCCCTTTTATTGGTGGGTAGACGTAGGCTCCAGGGTATTTTCCTGTTTCCGTTTGCTTACATGAAATTGTGCTGGTTAGGATCCCTTCCCGCCATGCACTAGCACCTAAAAGATTGCATACCTTCATTCCTCCTGCGAAATAATGTGCATCATATAATGATAAGAAAGATATGGATACTACCTCTCTATATTCATTGATTGCATTATGCTTAACCATTAATCGTTGACAGCTAAGGGCGTCAATGATACAGTATTTGGCCACTTCACGCATCTGCTCGGCCGTTGTGGTATTTGTTTCTTTTAATGCTATTTCATAGTATTTGTTCATGCGATGAATAGGTAAATCCACTTTGTTGTCAAGATTACACTCCCTTAAGTAATATGCGAGACTACTTTTTTCAGCTTTAGGGTAGAATTTCTTAAAACAGGGCCGGGTATCAATAGCTACACATCCAGGAATTTTAAGATGTCTCGAATAGAAGTTCCCATCGTTTACTTTTATCATATTATACTGATATTGCCATTTTGAAATTTTTTCGAGACTTGAAGGCTTTAATGACATTTGATTGAACATCCACTCGAGAACCCCTAATTTTTTGGCTTTCTCCACAATAAACGGCCAGTCATATTGCGAATCATTAAAGCCTATTTCTATATCCGGAGCTAAAAGTTTCCAACATAGTGCAAATGCCTTTAATAAATTAACTTGAGATCTACATACAACTGTAATCCATTGCGGATCTGGTGCTGTTTCAACATCGACAAGGCAAATTTGTTTTAACGGTTCGGGGTCATCTTTCCAGTGAAC